CATATCTGTTAAGATAAATACGCGAGCAGGAAGAAGAAGAATAAAAAATAAAAAAAATTGCCGCGCATTGCTGTTGCATCGAAGGCTGTTCTTGTACTGAGACTTACAAATTGGTTGGCGTTTTTGGTTCCTGCGTTTGTGTGCTTTTGTTTGTAAACAATAGAAGTTGCTGTATGTGCTTTGCTTCTGTGTTTGCTGTGTTTAATGATTTCTGTACAATAAGTCTTTACTGTGCTTGTTGTTGTAAACTGTTGTGGTATCTGTATCTTTGGTCATGCCCGCTGAGACAAGAACGTATACATGCCCTGTCTGTGCAGTTGTTGTTAAGGGCAACCAGAACAGTGTCGGCTTTGGTATTTGTGGAATGTTTTTCCACATAAAATGTGTCGATGTGTCAAGAGAGCAGCATAGTTTTTTGTACAAACATAGGAAGTCACTGATGTTCATGTTTATGTGTCCTACGTGTATTAAGAAGAGCTCTGATGATAAGGCAAATACCTCTTCTTCAGCGGTTGGTTGTATGGAGATTGCTAGCAGTATGGAAATAGGTGCCGATGTTATTGGAACAATGCAGAAGGAGTTCGAATCATATAAGCTATGCCTTGAGAAGCAATTTGAGAGCTTTATGCTTAAAATTAAGGAGGTTGCGAAAACAATACGGTCGGAGGTTGATGATAGAATTCATAAAGTTGAGGAGTCAGTCCGACGGTGCCAAGATGCTGTTAAGCGTATGGAACAAGCTAAGCAGGTAACAGATGCAGAAAGTGATGTTCTTACAAGGCGTCTCAATCGATCCAATATAATTATTAGTGGCTTGCCTGATGGCATTAAACAATTAAGAGACCCTGTGCTAAGAATAGCAGCCTTGTGCGGTGTTGATGTACAACCTCGTGATGTCAACCACTGTTGTTACATTTCGAAAGGCAAATCTGTGCTTGTAAAGTTTAATTCTGTACTTGTGAGAGACACACTTATGGCTAATTACCAAAAGCGCTGTAATTCGCTGTTGCTTAGTGATATTACCGGGGTAGGTGTAAGAAGTAGAGTTTACTTGAATGATCACCATAACCGTGCAGCCTCTAAATTAATGTATCTTTGTCGAAAATTATGGAGAAACAACAAGATCCGAAGATTTAAGTTAAAAAGTGAGGACAACCCTAAGGCACTGGTTTTGCTCCCAGATGGACGGGAGGAAGAATTTGATATTGCCCGGTGTGTCAGCATGCTAAATGGTGATGGTATTTCATCAGCTGATGATGCACTTGTTGGAGGTGTTGATGCTGCTGTTCCTGTTTCACAGCTGAATGTTAATGTGCGGTCGTAAGTGGTGCTTGTTGAGTAGTTTAATGTACTGTAATGTATGTAACATTATTTATTTGATTTTTATATTTTCTTGGTATTTGTTATTTCTTGTTATCTTTTACATTATTTTTGATCGTTTGCGCTACATTGTCGTTATGAGTTTTTCAACCAATTTAGGCGAAGTTTTTAGCGACAATAGTTTTTTGTTAAATCAGCTATGCAATTTTAGGGAAAATTGGACATGTAAATGTTAGAAGTTTTAACTTAAGTAAAAATTCATTTAAAATCCATGAATTGAGAAATATTTTAGAGGGGAAAGGTCTTAATATTTTTGGCGTGACAGAATCTTGGTTAAAACCTACAATTTCGAACGAAGCCATAAGAATACCAGATTACATTTCTTACAGAAGTGATAGACCTGGTAGCAGAGGAGGTGGTGTTGTTTTGTATGTTGCACAGGATATGAGTCATAAACTTGTGTGTAGAGGTAATTCTTATGGTGATGTTGAATATGTTTTTTGTGAGGTTATTGTTAATAATATTGTTTTCTTAATTGGGGTTGTTTATTTGCCTCATGGTAATATATTGGCTTTGGAAGATGAAATTTCTGACCTTGTGGTGAAGTATTCCAATGTCATCATTATGGGGGACTTTAACAATAACATGTTTGATTTGAACCGAAGTGTATTGGTGCGTGATGTTTGTAGTCGTTTGAATTTATCTGTTGTTCATAATTCAATGCCAACACATGTCGATGTTGCGCACAATTCTACTTCTTTGTTGGATTATTTTTTTGTGTCGAATTTGAGTTTGTTAGCATGTTCAAATCAATTCTCTTGTCCTGGCATTTCTGACCATTCGTTTATATTTTTGTCTCTCAATGTTCCTAATTGTCGTAGTCGTCTGTTTTATGAATATGCGGACTACAGTTCTGTTGACCCAGTAGCGATTTCGGATGCTTTGGATTTATGCAACTTTGAAGAAGTGTTTACAGTGACAGATGTTGATTCACAGGTAAATATACTAAATTGTGGTCTTCAATGTTTGCATACAGTTGTTCCGATAAGAAGAAGATTTTATAAGAATAATAATAGTGATTGGTTTAAATCTTCTGACATCCGTTATCATGTTTCCCTTAGGGATTCTGCATATAAGTCGTATCTTCAAAATAGGACTTTAGATAATTGGAGGAATTTTTGTCGTTGTCGGAACCGTGCTAAGAAAGTCATAAGGAGGTTGAAGTATATTGCTCACAAGGAATTGTTTATGAATAAAACCACAAAGGAAGTGTGGTCGATATTAAATAAGAATGGTTTGAGTGATGAGGAATGTGAAGTTGAAAATGTGGATGTTGAGATGTTGAATTCTTGTTTTGTCTCCAATCAATCTATGGATGTCTGTGATATTTCTTGTGTTCCTGTAGGTGCTTATGATGGTTTTTCGTTTCGTGCCATTAGTTATGATGAAGTTATTAGTGCCTTTAATAAAATTAAGTCAAAAGCAGTAGGTTATGATGGCTTTAAACTTAAATTTCTTAAACTTGTTTTTCCCTTTGTTGGTCCTTTTGTGCTTCATGTTGTGAATACGATTTTGACAGTGTCTGTGTTTCCTGAGCTCTGGAAAATTGCTAAAATAGTGCCTATTCATAAAAGTGGTGATTCTGATGAGTACAGACCCATATCAATAATGCCAATTCTTTCTAAAATGGTTGAATATGTATTGAAAGATCAAATGTTAGAATATATAAATGAGCATTAACTATTACACCAGAGTCAATATGGATTTAGAAGTAATCGTAGCACAACATCTCTTCTGGTTGGATTGACTGACAATATAAGAAATTCTGTCAGTGCTGGTGATTGCTGTGTTTTATTATCACTTTGCTGAGTTGTATTAATGGTAGGAATTGTATGTCGTTTGCATTTGCTGATGACATTCAAATTTTGTTTAAAGGAGAATATGTGTTTATGGATGTGTTGCAGTCGTCAATTGATTTTAATATTAATATGTTGGTAACTTGGTTGTCCTGTAACGGTCTCTCAATAAATACTCAAAAATCTAAAGTTATGTTTTTTGGGAACTTGCAAGAGGATTCAATTAGAGTTTCCATTTATAGGACGCCTATAAATGTTGTAAGCTCGATGAAAAGTCTTGGTTTGTTTCTTGATTCTGGTTTGGTGTTTGATGTGCATGTGAATTCTTTAGTGTCCAAAGTTAACTTTATTTTAAAGAAGTTGTACTGCTTGGACATAGTTTTGCCTAAGAAGATTAGAATTCAGTTGGTACATGCATTAATAATGCCTCACTTTTTATATTGTATTGAGATTTTTGGGGGTAGCTACGGTTTTGTTTTTCGTAAGTTAAAACTATTGTTTCATAGGGTAATGCGATATGTTTTTTGTGTCAAACGTCGTGATCATATATCTCCTTCTGTGAAAGAGTTTCTTGGTTGTTCGTTTGGGTGTTTTGTGAATTTAAGGTCAATGTTGTTCTTCTACAAACATTTTAAATTGAGGACATCTTCTACTCTTTTGGACCTTTTTAAGTTTTCGAGATCTGTAAGGAATCTGCAAATTGTTATACCACGCTTGACTCCTCTGTTGGAAAAATCCTTCTATGTAAGAATTGCTCGCATTTTCAACAATCTGCCACCTAATCTTAAGACATTCAATTCTTCCCTAAAATGTTATAGGCGTAAATTATATGCTCATTTCAATATTGTTTAAAATATATAGTTTTCTTGTGTTAATTTGTTTTTTTCCTTGCATAGTTGATTTATCTAAATCTTCAATGAATTGTGATTTTTGCTAATCTTTTTTTTGTTATTTTTTTAATGTTATTTTTAAGATTAAGGATGTTATGAATAGTTTTGAGTAGTCATGTATAGGAGTTCTTGGAACCATCAATCAATTGTTAATTTTATTCATTTTTTGTTAATTTGTTTTAGTGTTTAATTTTAAGTAATTCTTTTAGGATTAATGATATTATAATTAATTTAGAGTAGTCATGTATAGAAGTTTTTTGAACTGTCCATGGCCCTGCTGGCTAGGTTTCTGTACTAATTGAAAATAAATAAATAAATAAATAAATTCTAAAATTACCTTTGACTTGGAAAATATTGCGAAGACCTTTATAATACTGATAATTGAGAATTGAAAATTTAATTAAATACGATGATATAACGAATATAAAGAGGTACTGGGGAATACAAAATAATCATAAAGTGGACTTTTGTTGTAACTTTCTGACAAATTAATTATAACCTGAAAAATGCTTTTGAGCCCTTCAAAATACCTAAAGTTTAGAGCACATTTGGCCGACGAATATTGGGAGATAATCAGCTCAATTATGGTTGTCGCTTCTATAGTCGTAGGCGACGTTATGTGCAAGTCGCCATCGCCGTCGCTTCGATTTAAAAATGGTATTACGGCAAGGCATAGAAACTACATCGACAGTTTAAAAAAAAGTTGGCAACACTCCTTTGTTATTGTCAAAAAAGACAATTTGTTTTGTATTTTGAATTCTAATTCTGTCTCTTTCGGAAAAAAAAAATAAATAAAATATACTGAAAAAATGAATATTATAAATGCGTTACATATCTTAAGTTCAAGTGAGGATGAAGACGAGAATGTATTAGCAGTGCAGCGGCGAGTGCTGAGGCAGCAAACAGACATATTTGCATTGCCTGACTCCAAATAAGTATTTCAATTAACTTAATTAAAATATGTACTTAATGTGTTCTTTTAGATTTGAAAATTACTTCAGGATTAACAAGGACTGTTTTCAGGATGTGCTGAAAGAAATTTCGCCAAAGTTGAAAAGTGGGCGCCGGTCATTGGCTCTTAGGCCTGAAATAAAATTGGCCACAGCATTAAGATTTTTAGCGCAAGGATCTTATCAGACCAGTGTCGGAAATGACTTCAATATTTCCATTACACAACCCACTGTGAGTGTTGTATTGAAGGAAGTTTTGGAAGCTTGTGAAGCAACAATCTGTTGTAAGTGGATTATGACGGAGGAAGAGAAGAATTCCGCGAAAGAATACTTTTTTACAAATTCCGGAATTCCTGGTGTGATAGGTTGTGTTGATGGAACCCACATCAAAATTATTTCGCCAGGAAGAAACGATGCAAATATGTGTTTCAATCGTAAAGGATTTTATAGTTTAAACGCCATGGTTGTGTGTAGTCAGTTCATTTTAATTGTTAAATATGTGTATTTATTTATTTTACTTTGTTTAGGTATGTGACCACAAAATGAAAATAAGGTACTTTGATGCAAGATATGGCGGATCGGCACATGACTCCTTAGTGTGGAATGTAAGCGTGATGAAACGTTTACTGCAGGAACGGTATGATGCAGGAGAACGAAATTCATGGCTACTTGGTAATTATGTTCGTAAAATAATTGATCATAAGCTAACAAGAATTTTCTGTTATAGGCGATGCCGGGTATCCTTTTGAACCATTTCTAATGAAAGCAATTTCAACAGCAAACATGCAAAGGCAAGAAACATTGTTGAAAGAACAATTGGACTGCTTAAAACACGCTTTCGGTGCCTACTAGGAGCCCGTGAGCTGCACTATAGCCCAATTAAAGCTGCAGTAATTGCAAATGTGTGTGTTGCTCTACACAACAAGTGCATGGATTTTGCAGAGGAACAATCATGCAAGAACGAAATTATCAAGAAGACGTTGAAGCCGCGTATTCCACCGAGGCTAGTCAAATAAGGGACAATTTATTTTAGCAATAGTTAAAGAAATTTATTTAATAAAAAAATACTACGCTTAAACATTAAAAATATCTCAAACTATAAATTCATTTCATGATTTTAAATTTGAATAATAACTATAAACGAGATCTCTTAATTTCACGAGCTTCTTAACCTATTATTTTTTTAATTCCGCCAGCTGTTCAATAACTTCAAGTTTCCTTTTTTAATTTTATGTTTTAGATCCCTGATCTCTTCGTCCCGCTTAAATTATTCTTTTAATACTTTATGACGTTCTTCTTCAATCTGGAAGCGCTTGCGTTGGTATCTCACATTTTCTTTTAAATTATTATTAATGTCGTTCCAGATTTTACGGCTCTCTTGATTGTATTGTTCCAAAAGTTTATACTGCTCTTTCAAGAGTTCAGTAGTTTCTTCTTTTCTTGTTGACTTTCTACTTTTGTTTTTTCCGGACGATCGAGAAGCTTTAAAAGTTGTTACATCAGCCTCGTCATCAACATTGTCCACTTGCTCATTTTCATTAACTATAACGTCTATTACACTTATGTTTTCCTTATTTTCTATTTCAAGTGCCCGACCTGGTGGATTCAGAAACTTTTGAAACTGCATTATCTTCGCTACAGACTCCTCCAAAGGCGACAAAGGCATTTGCTTAAAAATGTCACTTCCAGTGCTGTTGGTTTCACCCTTGTTGTGCACAAGTTTCTTTTTAGTTTTAAATTTTAAATCTTTCCAAACCTAGAAGCATTTTAGAAAACTAACGGTCCTGTAACGGTCTCTCAATAAATACTCAAAAATCTAAAGTTATGTTTTTTGGGAACTTGCAAGAGGATTCAATTAGAGTCTCCATTTATAGGACGCCTATAAATGTTGTAAGCTCGATGACATTTCTTGGTTTGTTTCTTGATTCTGGTTTGGTGTTTGATGTGCATGTGAATTCTTTAGTGTCCAAAGTTAACATTATTTTAAAGAAGTTGTGCTGCTTGGACATAGTTTTGCCTAAGAAGATTAGAATTCAGCTGGCATTAATAATGCCTCACTTTTTATATTGTATTGAGATTTTTGGGGGTAGCTACAGTTTTGTTTTTCGTAAGTTAAAACTATTGTTTCATAGGGCAATGCGATATGTTTTTTGTGTCAAACGTCGTGATCATATATCTCCTTCTGTGAAAGAGTTTCTTGGTTGTTCGTTTGAGTGTTTTGTGAATTTAAGGTCAATGTTGTTCTTCTACAAACATTTTAAATTGAGAACATCTTCTACTCTTTTGGAAGGAACCTGCAAATTGTTATACCCCGCTTGACTCCTCTGTTGGAAAAATCCTTCTATGTAAGAATTACTTCAATTCTTCCCTAAACGTTATAAGCGTAAATTATATGCTCATTTCAATATTGTTTAAAATATATGGTTTTCTTGTGTTAATTTGTTTTTTTTCCTTGCATAGTTGATTTATCTAATTCTTCAATGAATTGTGACTTTTGCTAATCTTTTTTTTGTTAATTTTTTAATGTTATTTTCTAATGTGATTTTTAAGATTAAGGATGTTATGAATAGTTTTGAGTAGTCATGTATAGGAGTTCTTGGAACCATCAATCAATTGTTAATTTTGTTCATTTTTTGTTAATTTGGTTTAGTGTTTAATTTTAAGTAAGTCTTTTAGGATATTATAATTTATTTAGAGTAGTCATGCATAGAAGTTTTTTGAACCGTCCATGGCCCTGTCGGCAAGGTTTCTGTACAAATAGAAAATAAAAATAAAATAAAAACATACAAAAATAATTTTAATTTTTACATACTTTTTGCCATACTTTTTTAATTTTGTAGCAATGGATTCCCAATCTGTTTTAAAATAAGCTGGAACATGACCTTTGGTAAACCCTTTTGCCAAACATGGATTTTTTTCCATTTCGGAAACCAAAATTTCAACTTGTTTTGCTCTTGTTATTTTCATGGTCATGTATCAAATACAAAATGCTTACAATATCAACGTCGACAAAAAATACAATGTCGTCACAATTTTTTACGGCGACAGATATTCTCAAAAATCGACTTCACGTCGACTGTTGTATCGACAATGATAATGGCAACCATTTGTCGCTATCGACAAAAAACGACAACGCTAATATCATTATTGTCGCCTCGACTTCATTTTGCGACGCCGACGACAACGATAATAGGGCCGAATATTATATTATATGAGGGATATATTTAAATGAGAACAAATACATTCCTTTTGTAACATCAATAATCATAAGAATAATATGTGCTAAGTCTGAAAGATGCATATTAAATTTGGTGACCTCTATCGTAATTGCAAATGGATAACGGAGTGGCTCACGGACATAATTTAATCAACAAAGATTTCAACTTTTTAACATACTTTATGGGGTCCCTAACTTTTATAAATCGATGATACTTTTTGATAGTTAAATTAAAGTCATATTGCCAGGATTTCAATTTAGGAATTACTATCGATTCTGAAGTCCAAAACTGCAAGAAATTGACTAGATATGGAAATAATCCATCCAATGAGAACTTAAAATGCAAGATTCATTGGGACTGCAATCAGTGAAATACCGAATATGAAGAGCTCTGTTATGTGCGGACTATACAAAATAGTGTAGCAAATTGAAAATATAGAAAGAGGATTCATATCCTCGGAAAATTCTTCCGAAACCTTAAACGTAACCTTAACTCACATGTAACGTTATACGGTTGCGGGATATTACACTTGGAAAATTGGAATTGGCAAACGTTTTTAGGGTCCATTTTATATAGCTTAATCAAACACAGAGGGACTCAAATATTTTGCTCTATACTTCACAAAAGTTACGATAGAGTTTTAAATTTGATACATCCCTAGGGGTTTCATGAAGAGTCAATTGTACAAAATATGTTTCAGGTCGGTCTTAATTGATGTAGTCCCTCAAATGATGTAGGTAATTTGAGATTTTAGGAAGAACAATACATTCTTTCAAATAATTATACGAATAGGACCATGCTTTGGTATAACCCTTATATGAAGGTATCCGCTGATTTCCAGCGACTTGGAACCATTTCTAATGAAAGCAATTTCAACAGCAAACATGCAAAGGCAAGAAACATTGCTGAAAGAACAATTGGACTGCTTAAAACACGCTTTCGGTGCCTACTAGGAGCCCGTGAGCTGCACTATAGCCCAATTAAAGCTGCAGTAATTGCAAATGTGTGTGTTGCTCTACACAACAAGTGCATGGATTTTGCAGAGGAACACTTGGATGACATCGAAAACATAATCATGCAAGAACGAAATTATCAAGAAGACGTTGAAGGCGCGTATTCCACCGAGGCTAGTCAAATAAGGAACAACATAAGGGACAATTTATTTTAGCAATAGTTAAAGAAATTTATTTAATAAAAAAATACTACGCTTAAACATTAAAAATATCTTAAACTATAAATTCATTTCATGATTTTAAATTTGAATAATAACTATAAATGCGATCTCTTAATTCCACGAGCCTCTTAACCTATTATTTTTTTAATTCTGCCAGCTGTAGTTCAATAACTTCAAGTTTCCTTTTTATACCATCCACCAAAAAAGGTATGGAGGGTAAATGAAGTTCGTTATTCCGTTTGTAACTCATCGAAATAATCATTTTAGACCCAACAAAGTATATATATTCTTGATCAGCGTAAAATTCTAAGACGATTTAGCCCTGTCCGTCCGTCTGTCCGTCTGTTGTAATCACGCTACAGTCTAAACGAATTAAGATAGAAAGCTAAAATTTTGCACAGATCTCTCTTTTGTCTGCAGGCAGGTCAAGTTCGAAGATGGGCTATATCGGTCCACGATATCGTATAGCCCCCATATAACGGTACCCCCCGATATTCGGTATTTTGATGATTTTACCCACATTTTTCAACGGAATTGTCTGAAAATCCACACAAGGTGTTCCTTGTGGGTACTTTATACCTCGGCAGAGAATTGTCCATAAAGGTCCACGATATCGTATAGCCCCCATGTAACGGTACCCCCCGATATTCGGTATTTTGATGATTTTACCTACATTTTTCAACGGAATTGTCTGAAAATTCACACAAGGAGTTCCTTGTGGGTACTTTATACCTCGGCAGAGAATTATCTATATAGGTGATGACTTTAGCCACATTTTTCAACGGAATTGTCTGAAAATCCACACAAGGTGTTCCTTGTGGGTACTTTATACCTCGGCAGAGAATTATTTATATAGGTCCACAATATCGTATAGCCCCCATATAACGGTACCCCCCGATATTCGGTATTTTGATGATTTTACCCACATTTTTCAACGGAATTGTCTGAAAATCCACACAAGGAGTTCCTTGTGGGTACTTTATACCTCGGCAGAGAATTATCTATATAGGTCCACAATATCGTATAGCCCCCATGTAACGGTACACCCGATATTCGGTATTTTGATGATTTTACCCACATTTTTCAACGGAATTGTCTGAAAATCCACACAAGGAGTTCCTTGTGGGTACTTTATAACTCGGCAGAGAATTATTTATATAGGTCCACAATATCGTATAGCCCCCATATAACGGTACCCCCCGATGTTCGGTATTTTGATGATTTTACCCACATTTTTCAACGGAATTGTCTGAAAATCCACACAAGGAGTTCCTTGTGGGTACTTTATACCTCGGCAGAGAATTATCTATATAGGTCCACAATATCGTATAGCCCCCATATAACGGTACCCCCCGATATTCGGTATTTTGATGATTTTACCCACATTTTTCAACGGAATTGTCTGAAAATCCACACAAGGAGTTCCTTGTGGGTACTTTATACCTCGGCAGAGAATTATCTATATAGATCCACGATATTGTATAGCCCTCATATAACGGTACCCCCGATATTCGGTATTTTGATGTTTTTAGCCATATTTTTCAGCGGAATGGTCACAAGGGGTTCTTTGTGAGCACTTTACCCACCGAGAGAGAATTCTCTATATAGGTTAACGATAACGTAAAGCTCCCATATAACGGTACCCCGCGATATTCGGTATTTTGATGATTTTAGCCACATTTTCCAATCGTATTGTCTGAAAATCCACACACGGAGTTCCTTGTGAGTACTTTACACGCAGACATAGATTTGTTTTATATAGGTCCACAATATCGTATATCCCCCCATATATCGGCACCTTCCTATATTAGATATTTTAAAGATTTTAAAAACATTTTTATTGGATTTTATTTTTTTGAAAATTTTCTAATTCGTTCCAAATGGTGGAGGGTATTCAAATTTCGGCCCGGCCGAACTTACTGCTTTTTTACTTGTTTAATTTTATGTTTTAGATCCCTGATCTCTTCATCCCGCTTAAATTATTCTTTTAACACTTTATGGCGTTCTTCTTCAATCTGGAAGCGCTTGCGTTGGTATCTCACATTTTCTTTTAAATTATTATTAATGTCGTTCCAGATTTTACGGCTCTCTTGATTGTATTGTTCCATAAGTTTATACTGCTCTTTCAAGAGTTCAGTAGTTTCTTCTTTTCTTGTTGACTTTCTACTTTTGTTTTTTCCGGACGATCGAGAAGCTTTAAAAGTTGTTACATCAGCCTCGTCATCAACATTGTCCACTTGCTCATTTTCATTAACTATAACGTCTATTACACTTATGTTTTCCTTATTTTCTATTTCAAGTGCACGACCTGGTGGATTCAGAAACTTTTGAAACTGCATTATCTTCGTTACAGACTCCTCCAAAGGCGACAAAGGCATTTGCTTAAAAATGTCACTTCCAGTGCTGTTGGTTTCACCCTTGTTGTGCACAAGTTTCTTTTTAGTTTTAAATTTTAAATCTTTCCAAACCTAGAAGAATTTTAGAAAACTAACGGTCCTGTAACGGTCTCTCAATAAATACTCAAAAATCTAAAGTTATGTTTTTTGGGAACTTGCAAGAGGATTCAATTAGAGTTTCCATTTATAGGACGCCTATAAATGTTGTAAGCTCGATGAAATGTCTTGGTTTGTTTCTTGATTCTGGTTTGGTGTTTGATGTGCATGTGAATTCTTTAGTGTCCAAAGTTAACTTTATTTTAAAGAAGTTGCTTGGACATAGTTTTGCCTAAGAAGATTAGAATTCAGTTGGTACATGCATTAATAATGCCTCACTTTTTATATTGTATTGAGATTTTTGGGGGTAGCTACAGTTTTGTTTTTGTTTCATAGGGCAATGCGATATGTTTTTTGTGTCAAACGTCGTGATCATATATCTCCTTCTGTGAAAGAGTTTCTTGGTTGTTCGTTTGAGTGTTTTGTGAATTTAAGGTCAATGTTGTTCTTCTACAAACATTTTAAATTGAGGACATCTTCTACTCTTTTGGAAGGAACCTGCAAATTGTTATACCCCGCTTGACTCCTCTGTTGGAAAAATCCTTCGCATTTTCAACAATCTGCCACCTAATCCTATGACATTCAATTCTTCCCTAAACGTTATAAGCGTAAATTATATGCTCATTTCAATATTGTTTAAAATATATGGTTTTCTTGTGTTAATTTGTTTTTTTCCTGACATAGTTGATTTATCTAATTCTTCAATGAATTGTGATTTTTGCTAATCTTTTTTTTTTTTGTTAATTTTTTAATGTTATTTTCTAATGTGATTTTTAAGATTAAGGATGTTATGAATAGTTTTGAGTAGTCATGTATAGGAGTTCTTGGAACCATCAATCAATTGTTAATTTTGTTCATTTTTTGTTAATTTGGTTTAGTGTTTAATTTTAAGTAAGTCTTTTAGGATATTATAATTTATTTAGAGTAGTCATGCATAGAAGTTTTTTGAACCGTCCATGGCCCTGTCGGCTAGGTTTCTGTACAAATAGAAAATAAAAATAAAATAAAAACATACAAAAATAATTTTAATTTTCACATACTTTTTGCCATACTTTTTTAATTTTGAAGCAATAGATTCCCAATCTGTTTTAAAATAAGCTGGAACATGACCTTTGGTAAACCCTTTTGCCAAACATGGATTTTTTTCCATTTCGGAAACCAAAATTTCAAATTGTTTTGCTGTTGTTATTTTCATGGTCATATATCAAATACAAAATGCTTACAATATCAACGTCGACAAAAAATACAATGTCGTCACAATTTTTTACGGCGACAGATATTCTCAAAAATCGACTTCATGTCGACTGTTGTATCGACAATGATAATGGCAACCATTTGTCGCTATCGACAAAAAACGACAACCGACGACAACGATAATAGGGCCGAATATGATATGAGGGATATATTTAAATGAGAACAAATATATTCCTTTTGTAACATCAATAATCATAAGAATAATATGTGCTAAGTCTGAAAGACGCATATTAAATTTGGTGACCTCTATCGTAATTGCAAATGGAGAACGGAGTGGCTCACGAACATAATTTAATCAACAAAGATTTCAACTTTTTAACATACTTTATGGGGTCCCTAACTTTTATAAATCCATGATACTTTATTTTAGATAGTTAAATTAAAGTCATATTGCCAGGATTTCAATTTAGGAATTACTATCGACTGCAATCGATGAAGAGCACTGTTATATATGGACAATACAAAATAGTGTAGCAAATTGATAATATAGAAAGAGGATTCATATCCTCGGAAAATTCTTCCGAAACCTTAAACGTAACCTTAACTCACATGTAACGTTATACGGTTACTATGCGCTATCGTCAGTAATTACACTGGGGGATATTACACTTGGAAAATTGGAATGGTCAAACGTTTTTAGGGTCCATTTTATATAGCTTAATTAAACACAAAGGGACTCAAATATTTTGCTCTATACTTCGCAAAAGTTACGATTGAGTTTTAAATTTGATACAGTCCTAGGGGTTTCACGAAGAGTCAATTGTACAAAATATGTTTCAGGTCGGTCTTAATTGATGTAGTCCCTCAAATGATGTAGGTAATTTGAGATTTTAGGAAAACAATACATTCTTTCAAATAATTATAAGAATAGGACCATGCTTTGGTATAACCCTTATATGAAGGTATCCGCTGATTTCCAGCGACTTGGTCCCATTTTTCAATTGATTTTACCCTTATTTGACATCTTAGCTTCTAAGGGGGTAGAAGACCTCTTCGCGGAAATTTTTTGATTATATTTTCGAATCGATTTGGCTTAAAAAGTATGTTTAGGCTGATCTGGGGGTAGAGGGGCTACTAAAAAACAGTTAATGTATACTTTTTAATACATATGATCTATTTTTTTAGGTTTTAAACTCTCAAATTAAAACCTCTTGCTGAAAATAATTATGCTTTAAAAACTTTAAATTAAAGACTAAAACTACTGGCCGACAACGCGGACCGGGCCAGCTAGTTTATTTATAACTCTCA